CAATTCTGCTTAAAAAAAAATGAAAACAGATCAGACACTGGGACAGGTTTTGGTAAAATGACCACTTCAGTCTTTCATCCAGGAACATGATATGTACAGTACCAGAAGGGGCTGAGTGGCTCTTTTGCAGGCTTTAGACTCTAGTAGCCATGTGAGGATGTGCGAGTGGTTATGTCTTGGGAGGGCACATGGTATGTGTGTGATATATGAATGGGTGTGTATGATATATAAAAGTTTGTGTGTACAGCAGTGTCAGATGTTCTGGTGGGTGGCTAAGTTTAGATCCACCACTAGATGTGTCGATTTGGACTCATGATGGATTTTGCAGAATGTAAGTTTCTGTAAGAAGAGATGGGTGTGGGGAGGACATCTCTTCAGCATTTTGTCTGGGGTAACATTTGCCAGGTTTTTCTTTGCAACCTACTGCATCCTGGAATAGCTTGGAGCCGTGTCAACAGTGCCCATTGATCCAGAAGGTTTGTTAGCCAAGCGGTCACACTATCCCATTGTGCTATTTATTGCTGCGTGCCATTTGTCAGTATAGAGCGTGCAGAAGAAGCAGCTACTTCTAGAAATGGCTAAACAGCTACAGGAATGAGATGGCACCTGTCCTAGAAGTTGCTGTGGTTGTTTACTTCCCCCCTCTCTCCCCTAACAGACTGGTGATGAACCTAAGAATAACTTGACTAACTAAAAATGTAGCCATTACATAAAGCCTATCCTCCACTAAGCACTGTAGATTTTCTTCAGCCTGTGAGAGAGTGGTGCTGTGCATAACCTCAGTTTTGTATTCCCACAGCAGGATTCCAATTGTCCACTGGTTTTAACACATCTCAGACCCATGGACTTTCCTTGACTAGAGAACTGTGTACCTAGGTCCCTGCTTTTTGAGAACAGGGAGGTAAACTGTCCCAATTTTCGTTTGGCAGAGAATTCACGTGTGTATTATTCTTTCTCTTGCTTTCAGTCATAGTCTTCTTCATCAATGCTTCTCATCAGTTCAGGCACAACTGGATACTTGCATGTGCCCATGCTTGCTCACTAGGATTAGAAGGCAAATCCTTCATGTCACAGTGTGGGAAGCGGTTGGTTGTGACAGGGAGACTGTCCTGGGAGTCTGCAGTGGATGCACATTAGGCTATGTGTGAGCAGGAAGAGCTCCTTCCTACCTCGGGTTGGTGAGCTGCAGTGGGAGGAATGCAGCCTCATCCAGAGCTTAGCTAAGCTGCGCTTTCTTAGTAAGTAGCTATGGTGAGTCTTATCACCCACTGTTCTTGATTTGACAACCCTTCTTTGTTTTCCCAGAAAATAATCACTGTGTTTGCCAAGCTTCTGGAAATAGCTACATCCTTTTGTGGTGGAGGATGGCATGGCCGTGGTCCAGAGGGGCAGGATATTTTAGCTGTTGCTTGTCAGCACAGCGAGATGGGCGAGTAGCGTTTCAAAAAGTAACACTTCTAAGGCTATGATAAGGTGCTCAGGCTACAGGGCTGGAGCCTGTGTTCATGCTTGAGATAAACTCCACTGTCAGCGCCACATTCACACCTCCCCTGTCACATTAGGCACCCCATGGTCCTGCCTTTCCCACTAGTCACTTGCTACAAAGCCTCAGCACAGGGGTATCAGGCCCTGTGCCTTCCTCTGCAGAGTCCCCAGGGGCTGAATTGCTCCATGTGCCCTTGTGGTGACATTGAGGTGGCTAGAGGAAATACTGTGGGTTAGAATAGATTTGTCACCGAGGATTGTCACCCTGAACTTCCTTTGGACTCAGCCACTTCCCTTTGGGATGCCCTGTCTCGCCATTGCAGTCTAGACAAAGGAGAAATGGGTAGACAAGCTATAAGTTAGGGCTTGCGGTGTGGGTTAGGGGATGTACAGTAGTGGGGCTGCTTCCTCGTGTGAACGCAAACACCAAATGTGCTGTGTGAAATGACAGAGATTGGGGGAAGGCACTTAAATCTGCCTGTGGGTGCTGAGGAAATACATGAGTTCACTCCAATTACTTACAGTCCCTCTGTCTCTGTAAAAGTGAATTTTGAGTCAAATGTTTAGTGGCTATGGGCTGGACAGAGTTACTCTGGAATTGGAGAATTTAATTTAACTAATTTACAGAGACAAAAGACAGTTGTGTTAAGCAACTGAATGCTGCTAGAAAGCTGAAACCCGTGGGGCTGTGGCAGTGGGTAGAAGAATCACTCCTCTAACCAAAATAGTTTAATCACTGCAAAACCAGAGCTTAAACCTAGCTTCAGGATGAGGAAAATACAGAGTTCAGAGGTTTCCTCCTACACATGTGGTGTCAGCTTCAGGTCACAAAAAAGTGCTTCGTGGAAGTGTGGGTATGATACAACTTGCCCTTACAACAGGCTTATGTGGACAGGGAAATGAATGGGATTTTGTCACCAAGCTGAAGACGTCCTCTACTCATGATGTGATCGGAGAGTTAAAGTTACTACTTAAGTTAATATAACTGTCAACCAGATTGAGAACCCATGAGACTGCTCGCTGTTGATCAGCTGCGCGGATACAGCTTCAGTTCTCTGTCCCTCTGGGTGTTTCAGTCCTGACCTTGAAGGATTTTCAGCCTATATGGAGCTAAACTCTTTACTCTCATAAATTATGTATTGATGGAGGGAAGGTTTTGGCCATTTGCACAAACAAACAAAAAAAAAAACCCAAGAAAACACTTACGGCTCCATGTGTGCACAGACAGTTTTATGTGTGCGAGTCAGCAAATAGCATTTTTACAGACGCTTGCTAGCAGTCGGTAGAGCAGTCAGGCTTGAGTAGCACCTGCACATGGAGGGGTTGTGCAGTATGTCTGTGTGTGCCTGATGGGCTGTAGGAAATGTTGAACTCACTTCCCTGTCAGTGATTTAGCTCCATGACCTGTTCAAAGGGGGCCTGAGATGCCACCTTTAAGCCTGAACTTTAACACCCTGGTTACATTGCTGTGTCCCATTGCAGTGAGCAGGAGGTCCGAGAGCATGTTTGATCCATGTCTGTCTGCACGTCCTGATCTGGGAGCAATTTCTTCCGTGTATCTGCTCATTTCCCCCCCCAAGAATCATCTCTGTCTGCTCTGCTTTGAAGGCTGGATGGGAAAGCAAAGCAGTAATGGACAGGTAGGGTGGGAATACAGCCACACACATTACTAGTCCTTTTTACAGGAAATAGTGCTTCGGTGCTTTCTGAAATGTGGGAGAACCCTCCAAAGGGTCTTCACTTGAGCACTCAAAACCCATCTTTGAAAAAACCCATTTTGTGAACAGGTGTCTATGCTGAAAACCCTTAACTGTTCTTACTTAAAACCAACATGCTAGTGTGGCTCCTCTTTGCACAGCTGATAGATGCCACAAAACTGTGGAGGTAGACAATGCTTCCCTTGCCCACTGGAGATTCTTCACATAACTTCTGCATTGTTTGACCAAGAGGATTTGTTTTACCATGTCACCTCCCTGAGGATAACGGCACATTTTTTTGCTTAGTGTTGAAGTGTGAAGACCGTTGTGAGCCATGACATCATATCTCAGGCCAGAGCAGATCAGGAAATGACCAAGAAGGCCTAAAATATTGGCCATGGGAAGAATGAATGGAGGAGAGAAGGGATATGATACAGCAATGCTCTTTAGCCTAGATAGGTCAGATGCACTTGACAAGTGTAATAGGACCAGGAGATCTTTGACACTTTAGCACATGGTGATATTTTAGTGCCGAGAGATGGCTTGTGGGACATAGAGGTGAACTAGGGTGCAAATCCACTAGATGACATGCTGATAAATCAGAGCTGCACTTAGACAGTGAGGAGTAAAGGGGATATGGGCCTGAACAGCTAGTCTGCTCCAAATCTGACCCTTCTTTGACTCTAGGAAGCGTAAAATGAATTCTGGGTCCCAATCTCTCACCACAGCTAGAACAGTAATTCCCTCCACACATGTATATTAATGGCTATGGCTGTTTTGGGGGGAGTGGAAGGGAAGGAAGGTGGTAATAGAAGAAAAGCAGCAAACTACATTTTCTAGAAAAAAATTAATGTTTTTTGCAAAAAGAAATCATTTTAAGTACTGGTACATAAACTGAATAGTTTCAACTATTTTTGAACAGATGTAAACCAGAAGGGGATTGGTCTCTTATTTTTTTTTTAAAGAAGAGCTTTGTAAGGTAAATTACCTCTGAGGTCTTGCTCAGTGGGTTACAAAGCTGAGGGCTTGTTTTGGTCCAAGGTTGCAACAGCCACGGGTCTTATCACTGAAGTCAGAGCCAAGACAAACGTTCGGGCTTGGTCATGTCGGTCTCATTTTGTCCACAGCAAAAGAGGCCTTCACTAATGTCCAAACAGACCTCACTCGCAGAGACTGGTGCTGTCTTGCTGCTCATTTTGTAAATAATCTGCTCTCCAAATCGCTAGAGCACATTTCTCTCTGTAGTTCTCTCTCCTTGTTTCCTTGTGTTGTGCATTGAGAGGAAGATGATTTAGCTAAGACTTAGCTCTTTGGGGTCTTTTATTCTGTAATTGTATGGGACACAGGATTGACCAGTGATCAAAGCATTGCTTTGCGAAGTGGAAATGTGCGTTGCTTTCATGATCTTGTCTGCAGTCTGAGCAACTGTTCGTCTCTGTATTTTTCCCCCTGCACGAAGCGTGTGTGATGCTCCCCTGTCTCACGTGGATATGATGAAACTAGGTTGTTGTCTGTGCATCTGTGGCAAGAATGAGTGAGAGCCTTTGCAGATACTCAGTAATTACCTGGTGACCGGAAAGCTTCTACTGGAGGAGAGAGGCTGCATTTAAAACTTCTATACCTCCTAACTGTAACACTGCGTGGCTTTCCAGAGCTATTTTTTGCACATCCCTAATCATTATACTACTGTACTTTAAACCTCAAAACAGATCTCCACTTATACAGGTCTGAGAGCTTGATTTGGTACCCCTTAACTTAGCTTCAAAGCAAGTACCTTCATTGAGACAACAAAATGTCCTGTCCCTCCAGGCTGAGCTTCTAGGCCCCGTGCCCGCTGATTTGTTCCCTAACGATCCTGCCAACTTGAGGCTGCGAAGCACAAGTGTTGGTGAGCCACGTGTGGAAGGCAGAAAGTTCAGAAGGGAGGAATTCCTGGAGCAGCAAGAGGAGGGGGGCATGACAGGAAAAGGGGACTGATACTTCCCTGAAGAGCCCATCACAAATAGTGCAAGAATAACAGCTGTCTGTCATGGCTACAGATTCCCTTATCTGGGAGCGTTGAGCGGTGGAGCCTGTCGACACTTCTGCCTCGCGCCCTGCTCTGCACTCAGCCGCCTGCAGATACAGAGTGGCTTGAACAAGTTCCAGTGCTCGCTCTCGGAGCTTCCCAGGACCCCGCCGCGCAGCGCCGTTGGGCAGCCAGGTGACATCACTGCCAACAGCCCGGTAGGCGCTTCCTGTGTCACATTCCCAACTGAAGAGCCTCTTGCCAAATCCCTGTCGTTCTACACAGTCTTTTTAGGAACAAATGGTCTAATTTTAGCCCGACTGCCACAAACACCTTCCTGAAATAGACTCTGACTCTCTCCTGCCTTGTGCATGTTCTTGAGAGTTTAAAAACAAAATCCCCAGTCCTTAGGTTCCACAGCTAAGGCCTCTGTCAGCCTAAATTTGGGCAGTAAGAAATACTGAGCAGTGCAGTGGGGAAACCGCTGTGACTGTTAGACCCGTACTGAGCTGAGCAAGGACAGGAATGTTCCAGAGAGGCAGAAACTCAGGTGATGGCACATCACAAAGTTGTATGGATCTGGTCCAATCTGGATGAGTTGTTCTGTACTTCAGGGACTTTGCAATAGGAAGAACTTGTTGTTTTCACGGCTGATTGCAACCAGATGTGACATTTAGAAGTATAGTGAATGGACTTATGCAGTGGCCTCTGTGGTTTGCCTAGGACAATGGCTCTAATCACCATCCTTTGTTTTTGGGGCCTAACTGGATGGTCACTAGCCTAGGAGTCAATAAACTGTGGTTCTGATCCCACAGCAAAGTCCATTCATATGTGTCTGTGCTGTCCTTAAAGGGCATGTGCAGCAGTGACCTGCGTTGAGAATGAATAAAAAGCACTTATAGAAGAATTAGGAATTACTTGGAGATGAGGACAAGGAGCACAAACCCCACAAAATCACTGGGGTTTTATGCTCCTGCCTTTTGTCATTTCCATGAGTTTGATTATGTGAGCTCTTGCACTGAAGGATCAATGCAAACCTGTACTGCTGTTTTTAATTAGCAGTAAAAAGCCATGTCTTTAAAGAATTCTCTAAATAGGAAAGGAAAAATGTTTTCAGGCGGCTGTTGCCTTTATGTCACTCTCTTGGGAGTGACATACACCCCCTTTATATTCCTTTAGACCTGCTAATTAAGCAGCTCCTTGTATCTGCAGGTCAGCTGATCAGCTAATGGACTCCCTGCAGTCTCCAGTGCACCATGTCTTGAAGGGTAAATAGGAAAAGGCAAAAAGCCCGTGGGGGTCTCACTGGATGCCGGCCTGACTTGTCCACAGGGCCTTTTCTGAGCAGCACTGAAAGCAGGCACACGAGACAAAGCACAACGGCCCCCAAGGCTGTTACCCTGGGGTTTGCCAGGGTCATTGGGTGTATGGCCAATGCAGCATGTGAGACTATTAGCCAGGAGAGCTTCCCAGCTTGCCATCATTCAGCTGAGGACTAAAAATACTGTTGGCTCATATGAGGTGAATGCAAAGTGGCTGGTGTTACTGAATACTCTAAAGGCCAAACCCCTGGCACCTGGCTCCAGCTGGGCTTTAATGGAGGAGAACAAAAGCGGCAGTAGGGCTTCATGTGCTGAGCATCGCGGCAGGAGCTGGGAGTGCGCCAGCACATTCAGGGAAGGACAGAAGGGACACGGGGGACAGGACTTCTCCATTCTGGGTGAGCACCTGAGTTACCCCAACTGCTGCACAGTCTGGGATAGCTTTTGCTCTCTTTCTCTGGCAGTATGAGCCAGGATCTTTGAAATGTCACTGGCAAGAACTTTGACAAACTGATTAATTTCAATGAACGATTTTTCTCCCCCCCCCGCCAC